TTGTTCCGAGTAGCTGAATCTATAACATCATCAGTGGGGGAGGTCCTTCATTACCCAGTTTATTTCCCTGTGATTAAAATCCCCCAAGTATTAGAACCTCAGTCTTTGCTTTCCTTGCCTTTTTCGCCTTTTTGCTGAGGCGCCTTCATAACCTTCAGACAGGTGTCTCTGCATTTGTCGTATTGCATCACTGTTCGGTGCGATTTGTGAACCTTCCCGTGTGTGTGTGTGTGTGTCCCCTTCTGTTGTTATACCTGTGTGTACTCATGATGGTGGATCTTTTCTGATAATGGTGGTAGAGGTGTTGTCGTAGGATATGTGGGAAAAGAGATGGGACGGGGAGACTTGTACTCACGTAGTTGTGCTTGTAAATGTGTGGCCACGTCTGTGGTAGAAAATAATAATAAACAAAATAAAATAAATTGTGCTTGTGGGGGTTGAGGTTTGGCTCTTTGGTCCGCTCCTCTCAACCGTCAGTCAACTGGTGTACAGATTATTGAGCCTATAGGGCTCTCTCTTATCATAGCTACATTTGAAACTGTGTATAGAGTCTGCCTCCACCACATCACTTCCTGTCTGACATGTATGAGGGTGTGTGGAAATTGATGTAGACGAGGAGACGGATGTGGGTGGGGAGGTGGATGGTATGTGGGGAATGATGTGGGACAGGGAGGCGGATGAGAAGGTATATAGTAATATATGGGATGGGACGCTGGAGGGAGGTGGGAGGGGAGTATGATGAGGGAGGTGAGTGAGTAGGTCAAACCCTCCCCCCCCCCCCACCTTTCCTCCAGCTCTTTTTCCCCCTGACGTCATGAACGCCTTCACGTTCATGTTTAGTAATTGTGTTTGTCACGTTGTCTTTTTTATCATGAATACTTATATATTTGATCTTGCTTTTTAATACACACACACACACACACACACACACACACCTCTACCTGTTGATTGACGGTTGAGAGGCGGGACCAAAGGGCCAGAGCTCAACCCCCGCAAGCACAATTTGGTGAGTACACACACACACATACAATGTGGATATATATATATATATATATATATATATATATATATATATATATATATATATATATATATATATATATATATATAAAGTTGTGAGGGGTACCACTACCTCTGGTGCAAGTGTGCGGACCCATAGCCTTGGAGAAGAAAATAAGGAGTATTCAGAGAAGACCTTGTGGATTCTCACTGAGTACTTTATTATTTTCTTCTACCACCCTCATTCTTTTGTATATACACATATATATTTGTTTTATTTATACTTTGTTACAAAAAAGGAGTTACATGTGGGGTACAAAGATGATTATCATAAGTTGTGGAGTTCCTCCAGCTCCTCAGATGGCGGGCAGGAATCCTGAATGCAGTGTGCATTTCCCCTCTTTATCGCCACGCTGAGGCGCTGGAAAAGGAAGCTGGTAGCTCTAGGGTCTCTTGTTGTTTCAATTCTTCCTTTTCTGATGTGTAGTTCGATCATCATGGAGGAACTTCTTTTGTCCTTTTTTGGTGAAATATTTTCTGTTGTGCCTAACGCCAACCTAACGCCAAGGGCTTACTATGGTACATATATCTTATCTACGGTACGAGTAACTTAATACAGTGTAAAACATTCCCACGATACGGGATATCATTCAAACTACGAGGCAACAGACCACACACTAGAAGGTGAAGGGACGACGACGTTTCAATCGACTTTAGAATGGTCCAGGACGGACCGAAACGTCGTCGTCCCTTCACCTTCTAGTGTGTGGTCTGGTCAACATACTTTAGCCACGTTATTGTGACTCATCGCCTGCATACCAGACAACAGCTACACGGTATAAGATAACAGTCCCATGTACTAGGCAACAGTTCTATGGTATGGGTTGTTGTTGTTATAGATTCAGCTACTCTGAACAAGTTCCAAGTAGTACGGGCTATGGTGAGCCCGTAGTGAACTTACTTGGCACAGGAGCGGTGCTGTACGTACAGGTATGGGGTAACAGTTGCCTTAAAGGGGAACATGGACCTCAGCCTCTATATGACCAACCTCCCTACCCACCCTGCGACATCTGGTGAGTTTAGCCCTAAGCATCCACCCTTGGACAGACAATAAGTAAATAGACATCCTCTTTAATATGTAGATTGCATTACCATTCGTTTTACCATATCTACCTATAATAATATTATTATTATTATTGGGTTTGATAGTGTGACGTGATCTGGAATAGCGCAGTTACTATCCTGGCAGTATGTGTACATGTATATATAACATTAATAATTTTGTAATTAGCGTCAAAAGATTGTTATTTGCTTAGCTAAACTAGAGTGTTCAGTTCCTGAACCGATTATGTGCCTCTGTAATCCTTTACACCTTAACAAACATGTAATGGTCTATTGCAGTTAGCAGTTTGCTCTTTTCTGTTTGAATTTCCTCTTTTTTTTTTGGGGGGGGGGGGGAGTTTCGTTCGTGAATACTATCTTCATCGATAGATCTCTGTCCTTGTTGTACCAGCCTAGCCTGATAACCTCCTCCATTGTTCGTTCGGCCCCCCTCCATCTGTACCCCTTTCAGGATCTCTGTCGCTATGCTCTGTCTTTAGCTTTTCATTTGTTTTTGACTGGAGCTTTCTTATTCCTTAATACCTATTACAACTACAGCTCCTTGTTATTTTTTAATTTAAATTTGGCCCCGAGGGGCGAGTTTATTGGGCAGCGCCACTCATCTTGTGAGTGGACATACCGCCATAGCTGCATGTACAACACTCCCCAATAGGAAGAAAACCCCGCTGGGTTATTCATCCTGTCACTTGTACCCAGACACAGCTGGGACTTGCTTGTGTGTGTGTGTGTGTGTGTGTGTGTGTGTGTGTGTGTGTGTGTGTGTGTGTGTGTGTGTGTGTGTGTGTACTCACCTAGTTGTGCTTTCGGGGGTTGAACTTTGGCTCTTTGTTCCCGCCTTTCCCGTCAATTTACTGGTGTACAGGTTCCTTAGCTTATTGAGCTTTATCATATCTACATTTGAAACTGTGTATGGAGTCAGCCTCCACCACATCACGTCATAATTCATTCCGTTTATTAACTACTCTGACACAGAAAAGGTTCTTTCAAATGTCTCGTTTGGGTACTCAGTTTCCACCTGTCCCCTTGTTCGAGTAGCACCCGTGCTAAATATTCCGTCCTTCTATCCTAAATAATTGTGTGTGTGTGTGTGTGTGTACTCACCTAGTTGTGTTTGTGGGAGTTGAGCTTCGGCTCTTTGGTGTGTGCGTACGTGCGTGTATGTTGGGGGAGGAGGGGGGAAAGGGGTTATATTCTTTATAAACAAATAAAGAGTATAACATCAGAAAAGCTTTGGAGTAGGAATGCGGGATCGAACCAGCGTCCTTAGTAACCCTAGACGCACGCCTTAACCCATGCACCACGATGTGCTAAGGTCACATGCACAACCCTGAGATCTGGCCAGAACCACTAGGAGTTTGGAGGCTCCCAAACAAAGTTTTACATGTAACCCTCATACACGCCGCTGTAGGTAATAGCAGGTATTGGTAATAGCTCCACCAAGCGCTCCCTTCTTAGATTTGTTTATTTATTTATTTATACAAACACAATATAGAAGAAGTACATTGGGTTTGTGAGAATACATAACACTGGTGTTCTTACATTCTTGAAAATTGCTAAGATTGGCTACCAGCTTGTCTCCAGGACTCCTAGTGGATCTGGAGACAAGATATAATATATATATATATATATATATATATATATATATATATATATATATATATATATATATATATATATATATATATATATATATATATATATATATATATAATCACGGTATTGCAATTTCATTGTTTAAATGTAGATATGATAAGCGTCCAATAGGTCCAGGAATTGTAAACCAATTGATATGAGAGACGGGACCAAAGAGCCAAAGCTCAACACCCGCAAACACATTTAGGTAAGTACACACATGCGTCGCCAAGGCAGAACAAGTGGGCAAAGTTTCGCCCCTTCGCTCTCGCTTATCTTTCTTTCTTTCCCTATCCTCCCTCTCACCCTTTTCCTCCCCTCTGCGCACCTCTCCCAATCTTCCCCCTCCCCCCTCCCTTTTAACAGGAAGTTCCCTATAGATGCCAGTATTTCTTAAAATGGGTACTGGGGCCGACCCCCAAACTGACCTGTGACGCTTCCATCCATCCACTCAGTTTGTCATCTTGGAAAGTTGGGTGAGGCTAGCCACAAGCGTCTGGCCTCCTGTGTTGAAGAAACAGACATTCTCTTTTATAGTATAAACTATACTCATGTCATCTGGCTACAACGTTTATATAGTTTAGTCAGTTATTATGCACCCCATACCCATACCGTGGGCGGTGGTGGAAGGCATCCCTATGCCACATAATTGGTTTAGGATCAGAACCCCCATTGATGAATTAGCTAAGCAAGTAGTTATGTTAAATGAACAAATCCATTGTTCTGGGATGCTCTCGGTCGCAGGTTCGAATCCTCGTCACGGCCCTTGTGGATTTGTTCATTTGATGCATCACGCTATTGTGATTTCTGTGTGTAATAAGTAGTTATGTTATCCAGGGAGACTTAGTTTGAGTTTGAGTGCCATCTATAGTCATTCACTCTTCTAAGAGGTTCGGTTCATCTATTATGCACCCCATACTCATCAATAAGAAGTATATGGGAGCTTAGTTTTTTATAAGGTGACGGTCACGTTGCTGGCGACGCGTCTGCACCTTGTGCCGCTAGTGCCCGTCACCCCACTCTGCCTTCTCTTTATTCTATCCTATTCTCGCGAGTAGATTGACCTTGGTGTAATGTTCATTTCATTCAAGATACTATACTTGTATTTGTTTAAGTGGAAAGAACAGGGATAGAAGTGTTCACGAATGATAATTAAGGGATGATAGTTGGGATTGTGGGGAGTGGTGGCAAGGCGTGAGTCACGTTGAGCGAGGCGTGTTGGCCTGCCACTGCCAGTTGCTTGTAAACAAGTGCTGGAGGAGCTTGGGTTCTCTCTCTCTCCTGTCATATATCCTGGTCTAACATGTGCAAAGTTCTTGTGTTCATTTACAGTGTTAAGACATAGCTATATAAATTATGACAGGGGAAGCAAGTAAAGCTAAACCTAAGCATCTGGTGCACTGGTTTAGGAAAGGACTTCGTCTGCACGATAATCCTGCTCTCCGAGCGGGCCTCAAAAATGCTGCAACGTTCAGATGTATCTTTATATTGGATCCGTGGTTTGCCGGGTCGTCCAATGTTGGCATCAACAAGTGGAGGTGAGTGTGTGTACGAGTTGATATTGGCGGCTCACAGTTTAAAGCTTCAAGCTGCGTGTACAAGAGATACAAGGCACTGAGCCCAACATGGCTTCCAGGTTATGTAATTCAGTGTCAAGCAGAAAAGTATTTTTTTTATTTGTTATATATTTCGGTCTGAAGTGCATCAGGTGTGTGTGTAGATACTTATCCGGAGAACAGGGTTTCAGGGTTGTCATTTATGCACCCTATACTCATCTTTTTCGGGGAGGGGGGGAGGTGAAAAGGATTATAAGGCATACAGTTCGGGAACTGAACCTTAAAAAGTTCATATTGCTAGGCAAGTAAGTCTTGTGAAGCTTGTTGCACAATTTTTAGTATATATTCATTAAGTATTACATCAATAGTCATGTTATCTCTCAGTGGTTCAAGAAGTGGCCCGTAAGTCTCTCTCTCTAGAAGGCAATTGACATTGGGGTGAGAGGGTTGCACAGTTCCTCACCCATCCAGTTGGACGGCAGCTTTACAGTCATTGTAAAGCATGCATTATCAATAGTAAGCAAATTTTGGATATTTGTGTAAGATTTCTGGTAGTACATCATTATGAATGAAGTACTTACATATTTCATGAACACCATTGGAAGTTATCTCTGAATTCCGCGAGGGATGAAGGTTTTGAGGTATTGTGAAGCTAAAAAGAGGCGATTCAACAGAACAGTTCATATCCATCTTACGTTAACTACTCATACTTGTATTAATAAGTTCGCTCCCATGATTGATTCTGCCAAATAAACTCGCCTTTCGGGTCGCCTTCGGGGTAAAATAGAAATATATTTACCCGAGGGCCACCATCTCTCTAATGGCTTTTACGAAGACAGGAAGCCGACGGCTTGTCAAAATCCCTTCCATTTGTCCTGATGATTTTATCGAGCTCTAATTTGAATTTAAACAGTGTTTTGACATTTACTGCTTCGGCGGGAAGGTGCTTCCATGGTTTTATAATCACATATGAGTGAAAAAGCATCTCTTGTATTCCGTCCTGCATTGTGGCTTTAGCTTCAAACCGCTACTCCTTGTTCGTGTTGCATCTGACCTTTTAAAGAAGTGGGCTGCATAGATCAATACCCTCCAAATAGTTCCGTATTTTAAGTTTCAATGAGATCAGTCTTGTCATGTCTGATTTGCAGTGGTGTTAGCCCCGTGACCCTCAACCGCTCCTGGTATGAGTCGACTTCTAATAATACATTCTTGCTATATGTTCGTTCAAACTACGAACGCCCATTTACAGAAGCTCATACTAGGCTCTGTGGAATTTATTGATCCCGTATGTGCATCTGTATCATTTTCAGGTTACAGAAGTGATGAGCTAGTTAGTTGAACAGAATATTCACAGTTTAGCAAACTGAGACCCTAACACAGTGAGAGGTATTATTTTTTCTTAGCCAATTATTGACCCCCATTACCGTCCTATAGGTGCGAGTTGCAGAAAGGTGAATGTCACTTAATGAGTTCAGGTTCTGGGCCCTAATTATCATTAAGCATTTTGTGGTTAGATAGATAATTATAATTTACAAAAGGCAAACTTGAATATTTGGCTAAAATTGTCGAACGTCCATAAAGGCGCAATTGTTACTTTGTCCATGCCGGAGAATAAAAAAAAAATGAGCTTTCTTAAACACAAATAAATATTATTTATCAAGGTGTCGCACATGGGTAAGTCTAGGGTTTGCAGCGTGTTGGTTCAGTTGGCGGTTATGTATATTTAAGAGTTAGTGGGTGAAACATTTTCGAGGTGTTTACGTAGGAAGGAAATTAAGCATATTTAGATCAAAGTTCGAAGATAATTTGTCATTCTTTTCTTCAACTTATTCTCAAGAATAAACGTCAAATCCTCGTTAAACCAGCCACCAAACTCTCGTTTATGAACGAAAAACACTACACAGCGCCCAGGTAACCCTAGGATCAAGCTGTCACTTGAAAGCTGTCCGCAGGTCGGGCTGCGAGATTAGGAAAACAATCGAAACCAGCCAGAGATAAACGACGGGTATGGACCGCGGCGCCTTAACCAGCCCAAGCCGGGGGTACAGTAACACCGCGGCTACTGTTTCGCGCTTTTTTTATGGTGTTGGCGCACCTGTGTGGGAGATTGGTTGAGAGCAGGTGGTATACAATACTGATCTTCAGGTGTGAAGACTCTGTAACAGCGGTCAGCTGTGCATTGTGTATTGTCTTCTGCCTGCCAGTCTGCTGCCTCTTTATCACGGAAACGAAAAGTGCAAGATGCCATAAGAAAATTCTAAAATATATTGGCAATAGATTAATATTTTTTAAACGTCATCCTTGATGTTTCCTCCTGCGTAGGCTATCAAAGAGTTTGAAGTCTAGTTACTGACTTTGTTGTGATGCAACTGCACAAGTTTGAAGGCGTAGGTATGAATGGATAAAAGTTTTTAATCTTATTTTATTAATGGTTGTAGAGAAGCAAACAGCCAATGCATTTCAACATAAGCTTTTCGGCGAATCACAGGTGCTGTTTAATCAAGAATTTGTTTCAGTAAATTAAGAGTCAGATTGATTACTAATATTTTGTAGAGGCTTTTTCTTTTTGTAAGCATAGGCTTAGCATGGCATTTTTCATGTGTGTAAAGGTATTATCAGTAGTATTTGCAGCGTTACATAATATTTTTATTTACAAAATAATACAGAACACGGTTCAATGGTTGAATAGTTACATAAAATGCATATTTAAAAAGCCACAGGTACGTAAGCGTCGCTTCTTGTGCCTAATATCTACCAGGAAGCAGGCTCAGCTGGGGGGTTGGCGCGCCTCGTGCAGTTAATAGTTGCAACTACAACTTGGTAATCTGAAGTTATGGGTCCTCCGTCCTTATCACATGTGGTTATTAAATGTTAGACATCTTTAACCGGCCACCGTTCATTTTCATTAAGGCATGCATGGATTTGAAAGTGCGAAAATGCGTTAGGCCTAAGGGCTTAATCTCGTTTTTTTTCGTAGCCCGACATATTTGATCAGACTTGCGAACTAAACGTTAACTAAGAGGTGGTCAGATTAACAAGCTACATTAGTTGACGTGCTGTATAGCCACAAGGTCTACAACTGCTGAATATTACTTATAATAATTTTAACTTGTGGAGTGGTGTAATCCACGCCTCCCAATAATGTGATCTGTCGGTTCGCTGCTTAAAATGCATTGATTCTTACCAGGAGTATATCTAGTGCTTGATTCTAGAGGTTATCACCCTCCTCCCCTTCCGTGGCCATTTTTTCTTTGCGGTTCAAACCTATTACCCTCCACGCCAACACGTCCGCCTAATAGAGCATCTCATTTTGACGCATACTTTATCTAAGGCCAGACATCGTCGTACTAGAATAATGGTAGCGGCTCGCGAAATTGACATACCGTCTCGTTTCCTGTTTGGGGTATGTGTTTTTTTAGATTCAGTTACTCTGAACAAAAGTTCCAAGTAGCACGGGCCCAGTGAGCCCATATGGACTTCTGTGTCACAGGAGCGGGGCTGCGTTTAGGGTAGTTTGGTGTTCTGGTAGGCTAGGATAGGAATTTGAAATAACCCTTGACGTTGGGAATCCTTAGGAGGACGGGCTGTCCACGCTATCCTAGCCTATAGCCTAAGTCATTGCTCTTATAAAGAAATTTATTCCGATATTTGAATTAATTTGTTGTAGCTCAAACCGTTGTAGGAACTCCTTAAAAGTTAAACTGCTGATTCCCATCATAGACTATGGTTATGTGAAGCTCAGAAGTTTACCGTCTTGTGTATCTAGTTATGCCTTTGTGAACGCTCTCCCGTCGTCAAGGCATATGCTAAGCTTCCCGCCTTGCAGTAGGTGTTGGGGGGGGGGGGGCAGCCAGCTTCTCGCCGTGCAGGTGTGTGTGGGGGGGGAGGGGGCAGAGAGTTTCCCGCCGTGCAGTTGGTGTGGAGGGCAGAGAGCTTCCCGTCGTGCAGTATGTGTGGGGGACAGAGAGCTTTCCGCCGTGCAATTGATGTGGGGGACAGAGAGCTTCCCGCCGTGCAATTGATGTGGGGGACAGAGAGCTTCCCGCCGTGCAATTGATGTGGGGGACAGAGAGCTTCCCGCCGTGCAGTAGGTGTGGGGGGCAGCCAGCTTCTCGCCGTGCAGTCTTTTAGACGGCGTTTTGAGGTTATTGTTCTTGGAGCATCTTTCTTTACGAGGATACCATCCCAGTCTATATTGATGACTCAAGGTCAGAATCTGGAGATAGATATGGAGCGGTCGTCCCGGATGTTACTCCCTGAAATAGTTTCTATTTTTACTACAGAACTGGCAGTCATTCTTCTTGCAGTCAGTGTAAAGTATACGCTGGAATCGTCCCAGTTTGCCATATACAGTAACTCCAAATTTGTGCTTTAAATCTAGAAGCCTTTAATCATTTCCAACCTCTGGTTCTAAAAATACTAGAGGGGTTGGCGTCGGGGCAGTCATTACTTTTTGATAGGCCCCAATGCACGTCAGCATGTTGGGAGTGGCCAAGGCTGTTGTCGGCAGTCACCTACCTATTTGATCTTACGTGACTTATAAACCTCTAGAGGTTCACGCAGTAATCTGGGTTGGTCAACTCCTGGATCACCTCCAGGATGCCAAGATGATGGGGAAATGCTTTAACAAGGCTTCGCATTGGTTACAACACTAGGCTGATTCAGATTATTGATTGGGGGGGGGGTGGAGACAGCCAATAGTACCACCAGATAGTACTAGTGGTACTATCTGGTGCCTATGAAGCACTTGCTTGTTGAATGTCCTTCACTGGGACACCTCCGTCGTATTTACCTGGGCGAGAATCGTAGATATGGGACAATAGCGTCTGTTCTTATGTTGCTGCGGGACGATCTCTGGTATTGTAGACGCAGCTTGTCTGCATCAGTTACAGGCTGGTGCTCAGACTCCACACGTGGGTGTCCTATTGAAATAGTATTCTTTAGAATCATCATCGTAAAACTTTCTTAAATTAAAATATATA